ATGAATGCCAGTGAATTTCTTTTCTTCTTTGACGGTCACCCTCACATCTAACATCAACAACCGAAATTAGTGACTCGTTTATACATTTAATTAAATAAAATTGCGTAGAATGGCAGAAAGTGAGAGGAAAAGAGATATAGAAATAAAAAACAAAATAACATTTTGATTCCTTAGCTATTAAATTGAGGGTGGCCTGTTGTATTGGGATTTTGAAAAGATATGGAGAGTGGTTGTTTATTTAAAATTTCGGATGGTGTATCGTTGGTATGTGTGTGCGTAGTTTTAGCACATCAATAAAACAACAAAAATTCAAGCAACACACAATTAGATATAAGTGTGTTGTATTATAATATTTTGGGTATTTTACAGATTTTTTGCATGTTTGAAAATCAGCTGTGAAAAGGACTTTGATTTAAATTCAATCTAGAATATTGCAAAACAAATAGGATGTGTGAATTGGAATTGAATAATTTCTCGACATAGGTATGCACAACCGTCTATTCATTTCTGTAGTCATCCAAACAAATTCGACAACAGTGCCACTATGTTTTGAGTGCCACCCGACATTTTTTTTTTTTTTTTTGAAAACTTTAAAACAAAATTTTTATATTTAGATTCTCCTCTTATAACCTTTTTCGCTTATATGTGCTCATAAGACTTTTTTGTCAGTGTATATTTCGCAATATTTCAAATTTTTCTGCTGCCTCCTTTTTATCACTGTTTCTTTTTCTTCGTTTTGTGTTAGACCATCAACATTCATACAATTATAACCAACCATTTATTATCATACGTTTTATGATAATTCTGAATGTTTATTTCTAAAGAATTTTGAATATATCCACTACCATATAACGATTTTGAAAACTTATTGCGGTTTTGTTGCTTTCTTCCTTTATTTGGATGATCATTTCACAAAACGACAAAACAAAAAAGTAAAATATAGACAGTTTACTCTTCGGGATGACTCTGTGTAACAGAGATCCCCTGCAGCCTTTATCCTGTGTATAGAAGATTTTTGAAAGGATATTTTCGTTAGAAAATTTTTGAATACCTTAGGGCCATACCTTAGAACTTGTAGATTTCAAGAGCCTTTTCATATTTTATTTTATTATACCCTTCACCACACTGTGGTACAGGGTATTATGTCTTTGTGCATATGTTTGTAACAGGCAAAAGGAATCGAAATAGACACATGGTTCCTTTTGAGAATATGCATAGAATCACTTTCTGAGTCGATTTATGCATGTCCGTCTGTCCGTCCGTCCATGTATTTTTGTGAGCAATGTACAGGTCGCATTTATGATCCGAATTGGATGAAATTTGGCACAGCCCATTGGTTTGACCCAAGGACGAACCCTATTGAAAATCGGTTCAGATTTAGATATAGCTCCCATACTTATTTTCGTCCGATTTTAGGTAAATGTTGCACCAAAGTCCCTGAAAATCATTAGATTTGCACGAATTTTGGCATAGCGTACTGTATCAAGTCGACAATGATGTGTGCTAAATTTCGGGAAAATCGGTTCAGATTTAGATATAGCTCTTATACATAGTTTCGCCCGATTTTAGGTAAATGGTGCACCAAAGTCCCTGAAAATCATTAGATCTGCACGAATTTTGGTATAGAGTACTGAATTAAGTGTAGAATGACGTGTGCTAAATTTCATGCAAATCGGATGGTGTATGTCTGGTCGGCTGGTGCGCACAATAATCCTCCAAGGGAGTAACCGATTTCTTCCAAATTTTGCACATGGTAATATTTCTTCCAAACTTAGTTCAGGTTCGAAAAATGGGGAATATCGGTCCCCTCGTTCAGTAGCCTGATTTTATAATATCAGGCTATTGAAAAACCTGCTCTGTCTACGGTGGAACGTTAGAAAGACTTATTCTAGAAAGTTCTCATTATATAGAAGACCCTCGGAATGTATCCTCCTTAGAGACTATTATTAAAAATTGTGATGTAGTCGCCCATTTTATAATACATTTATTAGAAGACTTTCAGAAGAGTTTGCTTCTTTAGAAGGTAGAAGACACCTTTATATATAGTTACTGTATATATGAAAATATTTTACAAGTCTTAAAAGAAGAGCTTACATTCAATCAGTCGATGGAAGACACATGGAAGAATTTTTATTTATAGAAGACATCTGAAAGATGTTATGCCCACGAACGATTTTTTCCTCTTTAAAATTTTTCGGAATGAGTTCTGTTCATTCATGAATTCGTATGTATTCTATCTAGCTTAGTTTTAAAGAATTCGATAATGGCTTCAAGGTTCCGGCTTCCTCGGAGTAGGGTTTGAATAACCTCCTTGAATGCCTTTAATTTATAGGAGTCCTTTACAAGATATTCCACCCACAGAAGTCTTTGGAAGGTCCTCAATGTAAACAACACTTTAATAAGGCATTTAAAATATTTTCTTTTTTTTCATCTTCTTCTCCCTTCCGCAATCATTTTCACTCCACCCCCTCAATAAACAACCAGCAAAAAATAATTAAGTATTTAAAAATCGATTATTCATGACCACTTGATCTTCCAATTACCGTTGGTTGTTCATCTGTATTGTTCTCATCAGCATCATCAACAACCCCCAAAAACAATGAAAAATTCTTCTACTAAAAGAAAGAAGGAAACATCATCAACATCCACCCACACACCCCAAGTACTGGTCACGAAGATTCCATCCCCCCAGCCGTGATAAGGCAATTGTGCAATTTAAAAATGAATTGATGGCGGAGAGCATCAGCATCCGTAACATTCAGAGCAGGGGTGGGGAGAAAATGATATCCTTAATATTTAACTGCTATAATTGAAGGTTTTAGGGTGGCAGTATTTCTACTACCAGTCAAGGGGAGATTTACCACCCATTGTGGTTAATCCATTATGTGATTGTTACGCTTAAGTGTTTATCCGCATCAAAAAGGACATAACATATGTTTTTGGAAGTAGATTAAAGGTAGGAAGATATGAGGGGTACCAGAAAAAAATTCAGGTTCTTAAAAGTAAGCCAGTAAGGAAAGTAGTAAAGTCGGACTGGGCCGACTATATGATACCATTCACCACTTTGGGTATATTCTACACATGTATCCTAACAGACGACGCGTTTTTGTTATATATCTGTACCGATTTCAGGGAAACTTGACAGATACTAATTTATATTACTTCAATACGTTTTGTCAATCGGACGAATATATATATATATATATGGGGACTATATCTAAATCTGAACCGATTTTCACGAAACTTAGCACACGTCATTCTAGCCTTAATTAAATACGCTATGACAAATTTCGTGCAAATCGAATGATATATAGGGACTTTGGTACACAATTTACCTTAAATCGGACGAAAATGTATATAGGAGCTATATATAAATCTGAACCGATTTTCACGAAACTTGGCAGACATCATTCTAGACCCTATTCATTACGCTGTGCCAAATTTCGTGCAAATCGAAAGATATATAGGGACTTTGGTACACAATTTACCTTAAATCGGACGAAACTATATATGGGAGCTATATCTAAATCTGAACCGATTTTCACGAAACTGGGCAGACATCATTCTAGACCTTATTCATTACGTTGTGCCAAATTTCGTGCAAATCGAAAGATATATAGGGACTTTGGTACACAATTTACATTAAATCGGACGAATCTATATATGGGAGCCATATCTAAATCTGAATCGATTTTCACGAAACTTTGCACACGTCATTCTCGACTTTATTCATTACTCTGTGCCAAATTTCGTGCAAATCGAAAGATATATAGGGACTTTGGTACACCATTTACCTTAAATCGCAGGAAAATATATATGGGAGCTATATCTAAATCTGTACCGATTTTCTTGAAACTTGGCAGACATCACTCTAGGCTTAATATAATACGGACGAAACTATATATGGGAGCTATATCTAAATATGGACCGATTTTCACGAAACTTGGCAGACATCATTCTAGACCTAAATGATTAGGCTGTACCAAATTTATATATATGGGAGCTATATCTAAATCTGAACCGATTTTTCCCAATTTTAATAGGGTTCGTCCTTGGGCCAAACAAATGAGTTGTGCCAAATTTCATCCAATTCGGATCATAAATGCGACCTGTACTTTGTTTACAAAAATACATGGACAGACGGACGGACGGACGAACATGCATAAATCGACTCAGAAAGTGATTCTATGAATATTCTCAAAAGGAACTATGGGTCTATCTCGATTATTTTTGCCTGTTACAAAGATATGCACAAAGACGTAATACCCTGTCCACAGTGTGGTGAAGGGTATAAAAATATATTTTAAATGAGTTTTTTTTTTCCTCCGTTATGTTGGGCGAATTCAGCCCTAGCTCTGCAAGTATATCGAATATTAAATTTGAAGCAATTCCAACCATCAAAATAGAAAGTTGGAGGTTGAAAATTTTCAGAGTTTCAAGTACTTCTATTTTGTTTGAAATTCAAAAAATAATATGATAGAAATTGATCCGTTATCATACTCTAAGAATCTGCTACTGTTTACTACGATAACAAATTTTCCTTTATGATATCGAGAAAATAGAAAAAAACTAGTAGATTATTGCAGTATGATAACCCTGACAAATTTTTACCCATTCATCACAGAAAAATGTGTGGTTCCCTCACATCATTTCTCTCCCTGACAACTATTTATTATCCCACATAGATTTCAAAATTCATGAACTAATTCGACTCCTATAATGACCTACTAACCACAAAATTGATTACAGTGATTTGAGATTTTTAAAAATCAGTCTTGTATTCAATATTACAGTTATTATCCTTATATCATATTATTAAATTATACACTGCAGGATCTTGCAGTATATAATTAAATAGAAATTTATAATCGACTACGAAAAATCACACACTTACACTTCGTCATAGGCTTATATTATAAAATTCTCTTTATAATTACATAGTCCATCATAACCTCAAATAATTTTCTATATTTTTGTTTTTTTTTTCTTTTTTGTTTCAGTTTAAAACCACCACCCAAAGATGGCGTCACAAAAAGCAATCCCTCGAAACGGCATCGTGAACGTTTAAATGCCGAATTAGATTTATTGGCGTCACTGCTGCCATTCGAACAGAATATTTTAAGTAAATTGGATCGACTGAGCATTTTAAGGCTGTCTGTTAGTTATTTAAGAACAAAAAGTTATTTTCAAGGTAAGTGGAATATAAGAATAACACAAAAATAAATCAGGAATAAACAAATCGAGAACAGAAATATTTAAATAAAGATTTTTTTTGTTGGAAAAAGTCAGGGGCGTTGTTAGAGAATTTTTGAGACGGACATACTCTCTATAATTGTACTCTTAAGACTTGGACCACGAATTTTATACCCGAAATAAAAAAAATAGAAATGAAAATCCCTCAGCTCCAATAATCAAGGATTAGGGATCGGCATTTGACTATTCTTTAATTAAGTACCTCGAATTCTGGTAAAGGCCATAACAGAAAATTGAATTCGAATTAAATGTATTGGGAAATATGACTCAATCCTCAAAAACATTATAGTGAGGACCATGGACCTGTATGGAAAATTTTCTGTAATGCGAATTTTAACATACTTAGACCCGAACTATGCATTTAAGTGCAATCATTAGGAAAATAAGTTCAAAATCCAAGATTAAAAAAAATCAAGATTAAAAAAAATCTACACTGAATTTTACCCTGATTACAGGTGTGAAATTATTATTTTTTAATTACTTGGAATTATTTTACCTTTCACCCCTCCCATCTACGTCACTGCTAGAAAAAATATCCGAATCCGTGTACTTTAAAAATTTTGCCAATTTTACTTTTAGTACACAATATTGGCCTGAAGTCACGCAATATAGTTATATGATAATATTTACCATAGGATAGGTGATGAAGGAGTTTCGCTTTTGGTATTAGTCGTTGTTGTTTTTATTGTTAAGAAATGTTGATGACGTTTTTATATACAAATGTAGTTAAAGTCAGAAGTAGCGTGACCATCAATCAAGTGACGGAAACATGCATCTATTTATCGATATACGAAAATACTTATGAAAATATTTGAGAACAATTGGTATTTTTAGAAATGAACTTTTTTAAGGAATTTTGAATTAGAAAAAAAAAACTGAAGGAAAAAATCTTAGGATATTAGAACATTCTGCAGAAAGAGTACTAAATACGTCCATTGAGAAAAAAACGTTGTGCTCGGCACTTAGAACCTAAGAACAATTTTCTCATATATAAAAGATTCGATAGAAAATATTTTTTACAATTTTCCGTAAGAAATGCGGTACTTAACACTATGGACAATTTTTTGTATAGAAAAAATATCTAGGCCCAGTAAAAGATAAAAAAAGTCCTCATAGACTCAGGTCAATTTTTATATGTTCAAATCCTAATTCTAATTAATGATATTATTTTATAAAATAACACTTAGGCCATGATATCTTTTTTTTTGTAAATAGGAAAACAATAAAAACGAAACTATCTTCAACTAGTCCCAACCCTGCACAATGGGAAAGAAATCAAAACTTTTCAAATAAATCAGATGATAATTTCCTAAAAGGGTCTTTCACCCTCACAATTTGTGAGAAGCGTTTTTTCAGGATCTGAAGACATTTATTTTTTTTTTATTTTCTATGAAAATACATCCTAATAATCTAAGGGCATTTTTTCGGTACGAAAAAACCTCACGAAATCTTGTTTATGTGTGAAAGATCTTATCATCGGAGAACATCTTTTTCCACAAAAAATCAGTGACATGTTTTCTTTAGAATGAAATTGTTTCTGTAGAAACAAATTTAATGTCGAATCACAAATTTTACCACGGATAAATTATTTTTTAATGAAGACAATTGTACTCCTACAAAAAAGCTTGGACCATTTTCTTCTAGAGAAACAATCATCTGGACGTTAGCGCACTTTCATGGGAAACAGTACACAGGGCCGTAGAATATACAAATATCACTGGTTTATTTGCATAGTCGGACGGGGCCGCAGTATAGTCGGGCGGGGCCGACCATATGATACCCTACACAACTACCACGGAACTCTAACTTTCTGCCGATCTATATTCCAAGAATGGACAATATTTCGCGATATGTGCAACCTCTTAACCGATTAGAGGTCAATAGCTCCTATTTCTTGCCATGACATATATTTCGAATTATGTTTTATATCATAATATCCAAATTCCGCCCTACAGTGTGGGTTACTAAATAATACCCGATCCCCTTCTCCATGCAAAAATTCGCGATGTTTGGACCATAATTGCGGCCTCTGGAGCGACCATTTCATCCCCTAAATATTAACTGATTTTTTCCAAAAACAATAGGGGTCTTCATTGGCCAGAACCCATCCTACGTGCAAAATTTCGTGAAGATTGGTCCATAACTGTGACCTGTATCGTGTTTACAAATTATAATGGACAGGCGGACGGACGGACACACATGTCTAGATCGACTCAGCTAGACGAGATGTGACGATCGGTATGTGACGATCGGTATATAGTACCAATAGTTCGCGGCGTTACAAACTTTTGTGGCTGCACAAAGCTATAATACCTTGACAACATAGTTGTGTAGGGTATAAATAGTATTCCTCTTTACTTTAGGACTATTGACCCTGCAAAAAAATATATGGAGATGTTTTTGTCTCCATAGAAAACAAATTAATTTCTGGTTGGAAAATTAATAGATTGAAAATATCTTCAGTACCTGTAGCAAATTTTTCTACAAACCTATGACCTCTAATTTCAATTTAAAACATTGTTTCTATAAAAAAAACGAAGGACATTTTTTAACAGGAAATTTCCTGAAGAGTCGAGAAAATGGATTTTCCTCAGAAAGAAAGCTAAGGAAGCGTTGCTAAACCTCAACGCCTTATGATGACATCTCTTTGAATAAGCCCTTAAAACAAGATGTTTTCTATAAAAAAAATTATCAGGGCCTGAAGAGAAAAAGGACGCATTTCAATACAATATTTTTTATAAAAAACCATAGGATACTTTTTTAGTAGAACATTTTCTCAAGAATATGTTTTCCTCCGAAAGAAAACCAAGGTACAATTTTAAATAAAAAACCTTAGGAACTTATGACAACTTCTCGTTGAGAAATTCCTTAAAATAGGCTGTTTTCTATAAAAAAAAAAATTAGACGAGATATGGCGATCGGTATACTTAAAGGTGGGTCTAGGATCAATATTTCGCGACGTTACAAGCTCTTGGGGCTGCACAAAGCTATAATATCCTGACAACATAGTTGTGTAGGGTATAAAACATCTCAAGGTCTCAATGCGTGGAGGGAATTAAAAAATGCCTGGTCTCGAAAAAATCTCAAGAACTTCAGTCAGTTGGAGTCAGAATTTGAGGACAACATTTTTATGAAATCCTAGGGACAAATATTTTTCTACAAAAATTCTACAGCATCTAAGAACAATTTCCTCGAATAAAATTTAAATTGATTCGATACTAGGTTTAGGACATTTTTTCTTGCAAAGAACGTCATTGGACCGCGTATTTTTCTTCTAAAAATAAATAAAATAATTCATAAATATAATAAAAAATCCTCTGGTTTTGAGGACAATTTTTCCATAAAAAGGTGATGTGAATTTTTCAGAAAAAAAAATATACTTCAGTAGTGTTGGCGGTTTATTTGGGATACCATTTGTATTTTGTTTTTGCAAAATAGTCAGGCTGAATCCCAGTTTGTTGTTTTTATAAAGAACAAGTATTTATTAGTGGGGAAGGTATGAGATTGTTCGCCGAGGGGTAGGGCAGGGAAGACTATCATCAGTTCCCTTAGTTTTTTGTTGAAATATTCTCGCCAGAATCTATTGATTGCTTCTATACAAAAAACCTTTCATACCCAAATGTCTCTTGTAACAAAGCGAATTACTTAGCTGACCAACGATATAAACTGCATGAGAATTTCGCTAGTGCCTCACTTCGAGGTTAACAAGGCATTTACCCCTCGGCGAACAATGCCATACATTCCCCACTAATAAATAGTTGTTCTTTATAAAAAACAATAAACTGGGATTCAGCCTGACTTTTTTGCAAAAAAACAAAAAAAAATATATTCAAAATAATTATCAGGAACAAATTAGACATAATTTGTTTATCAAAAAATTCTCAGAATTTAAGAAAAACTTATTCACCCTTGACATTTGTAGGAGAGGTACCAGAAGGAGTTGGCCCATATTCCCCATCTTCGAATATGAACCAAATTTGGAAGAAAGATTACGATGTCCAAATTTTGGTTGAAATCGGTTACTCCCTTCGAGAGGCTAGACAGACGGACGGACATTTGTAAATCGACCCAAGTTGTCTGAAACGGATTTGGTGCAAATGAGGCACATTTTTGGCTTAGCAACGTGTATATGGCCTCATTTTCCATAAAATCATCTGAACCTGATGACATATTTTGCTTACAGAAAATATTCAAAAAAATAGTTCGATTTATTTAGGAGTTTTAGGGTCTGAAGAGAATATTTTTGATAAAAAGTGGTAATTTTTTGCAATAGAAACCAATTCCCGGAAACTGAAAAAAATCCACATAAACTGGTCAGATTTGGGCCAATTATGCACCGTTTTGTTGTATGATTTGTTGTCATTTTAAGATAAATAACTCTCATGTGTCGCTACAGGGTTATCGTATGTGATCCATTTCTCATCTCCAGTCACCATCCGTTTAAGAAATGGGTCTATCTCATTCCGTTTGGCCAAGTTTTTCCATCTTATTTTTTTTCTGTTAATTGGTGTGGCGCCCAAATATCAAGCTTCTTTTTGAAACCAGCTTTGTGTAAATGGTTTAAAAAGTTTTATGGTCGAGTTTTAGATTCTGGGCGATATTACGACAGCTAACATGCCGGTCATCTTCGATCATTTCTCCGTTTTTATCGAAATTTTCGACCACCGGCCTGGATGGATTTCTTTTTCCTCAACTTATTTTTTAGGTCCACGGGATATTATCTCTGGAGTGATGTGTTGTAGGTTTATTGTAGAAATTATTGCATTCTATCTTTAGAAAAAAATTGGTTCATGAGATAATTATTGTATCGAAAAAAAGTTCTTTAGATCCCGAGGTCAATTTTTTTCTATTTATTAAATTGATGACTAATTTCCCTCTAAAACTTTAGAATAAAAATTCAATTCAATAAGGACAATTTTCCACTAATTACAGTTAATT